AATGTAATTATGATGTTCAACCAAGCTGAATGAAATGTACTGACTCAAAATACTGACTCAGATGTCCCAAAACATAGGCTATGTGATCTTTAATGCCTAAAATACTGAATCAAAAATTACAAACGATGACACAAAACAATGAATCAAATGTTTCAATAGGGCTGTACGATTAATCAAACGCAGTTTCATCGCCTTTGCGATTTAATTTCGATTAATTGTGCAGCCCTAGTTTAAAACATGCTCTAAAGTGCAGTCTTCTTGGTAGACTGCTTAGCAGGATTTGAAACATGCTAAATATTTCACTGCGTATATTTTCAAATTGGTTTATTTTAGGTTATCCACCCAGCGGGGTCCAAAAGAGCAGTGTCATCTCCGAGCATTGTGGGCATTCTGTAGATTCACCTGTGAAGCTGATGGTGGAGTCATCTTCCTCTGGAGGCAGGGGTGCTGAGGAAGGCAGACCACCTCCACACATCGCAGATGTTATAGACAGCCAGGAGAACATAATGCAAGGCATGTTCTCCCAAACTGGAATGACGCAGGGAGAGAAAGGCCAATTGCACAGCAGCCAGGACCACGAGGTGCCAGAGTCATGCGATAAGACCAGTACCCAGCCATGTGGCACTAAGCTCCCAAATGGACATGCAGGCCACGGTACACATGAAGTAACTGAGCGGGACGATCCGAAGTCATCTCATCCTGCAGGAAGCTACTTGAATTCAGAAGATAACTGTGTGATTGCAAACGGAGAACTGTTGGCAGGCTCCAGAGGTGGTGCTTTGGATGCCGTTGCTTCTGCACCTCCACCTAAAGATGCAGCTGAAGCCAGAACTACTAGCTCGGAAGACTGTTCAAATGCCCAGAATTCAGCGTTTAACGATACCAGAAGTTGTTCTGAAGGTCTCTCTCTCAGGATGTTTTCCTCCAGCACTTTCCTCAACACTGACTCTGCTCCTCTGAGTCCGGACGATGACGAGACCTTTTCCACATCAGACAGACCTGATGACTCGAGCTTCACTGACGTGAGTCTGAAACCCAGGAACACTTATGAGATGAGTCGGCGTCAGAGCGCCCCAGACAACATCCCTGGTGTGTTGAGTGTTGCTGTCGCAGATCTGACTCTCAGCCAGAGGAAACACGGCATCTCTGAGATCTTCAGCAGGTATTGTTATGCTATACAGTTTTGCTTCATATGAAATACTGCTTTAGCTAAATATGAGAACCACAATTCGCAGGTACATATTATATTATATTGAGCCTATCAGAAAGTGAAAACTTTTTCAAATATTAATAATAAAAAAAGTAGTGAAAAAGTTTTAAACCATATTATGTAGAATAGTTTTTTTTATTCATTTATTTCTTAAATGGTTTGTACTGTTCATTTAAAGGCATATTTTACCCAAAAACTAAAATTTCATGATATACTAATTCTCATGTTATTTCAACTCTTTTTTTTTTTTTCTTTTTCCATGAAATGCAAAAGGAGATTTTAATAAGCCGTTCTTCTTCAAAAGTGGATGGTGATTTATATTTCAGCTTTAAAAGGATATAAAAAAAGTAGCTAAGATATTTTTATAAATATTTTTATTTAGTTTTTCATGGAGCAAAGAAAATAAAATGTTATGGGCTAAGTAAATAGTGATAAGAAACTTCTCAAAAGACACTTCTCTTCAAGAAATTATGTTTTTTTTTTCAACACATAACACTTGAAAAGAATCTTTTGACCAAGATTCTGTCTCCTTCCAGTTACTGAGCTGACTGGAAACTTGAACTATGAATTTCCTCATATTTTACGATGCACGTTACAGCTCAGTCGCAGATCAGATCTCAGTCTCAACAGCTGTGTTTCTGGCAGCGCCTGCAAAAGAGGAACATTTCTTCACATTTCATGCTTCATGGTTTTCATAATTCATTGTGAATCAGCTTGTGCTTTATCTCAGTTCACAGGCTGTAGTGGCGTTCTTCTCAAGTCAGTGACTTACACTATCAGGGTTATCTGCACGCTGTTAAGCCAAAATCAGCACACAGAACTGGCTTGTTGCACTTGCAGTTATTTTTGTGCATTGTCAGTGCAGTTTTTTCAGGTTTTGACAGATGCTCTGTGATGATGTCTTTGGCAGAAGTCTGTTCTCCAGAAAGCAGAGGGAAGCCCAGAGTGCACCAGGATGGAAACTGTTTGGAAAGGTCCCGCTGAGAGAGAGTCCTCCCAAAAATTCCAAAACCATTCAGCAGGTCTGTTCACACCTGATTCAGAATGAGAGTCTTCATAGAACTGTTGTATCAATATTTTAAATAGCTGTTTATTGTTTTCTTTTTTGTGTGTGTGAACATGAAATCAAAACTCACCCCACGAGGGTGAGTAATTAATGACAGAATTTTCATTTTTGGGTGAACTAACCCTTTAATAGGCAAACAGCATAAACAGTGGCAAACTAAATAATAAATAAAAAACACTAGACAGAGCTGAGCTGATAAAAACTGTGAGAATAGATCGGTCTATAGACTTGCAAATCTTCTCAATTCACCCGCCTGTGAAAGGTTTTTGGACTCTGGAAGAAACGGTTTTAAGCAGTTCTGCTTTTGGTGCTGTCTAACCAGAACCAATTCAGTTCATCTCAGCAGACATCTTTTTACAAGTTTCACTTCTGTCGTTTAGGCAAACTACACTACAGTACCTCTAAGAGACTGTGTGTTAGTCTGTGTGCTGAGGCCTGATCTAGCAGTCCAAGCTCGGCTGCAGTGTGTGGAGTACAGCTGGCTTCATTTCCATTCAGGATATTAGTGCATCTGTGTTTTTAGGAGAAAGACCAAGAAGGTCATTTAGAGGTCAGCACGTGTACAAACGCACATGTCCAATGTGTGTGTTGTGTTTTTATTTAATGCATGGCCTCACGCTATCTCTGCCCTGCTTATCTTCTGTCACACACACAGGGCTCTCTACACGTTCTCTTAGATTACTAACAGCCAAACTGCTCGGTTCCTACTGTTTATTGATTTAAACTACACACAAATAAGAAGAAAAACCGGATCCAGTCAGAATAAAGGCCATTCAATAAACAGCAGATCTTGCTGTCACGAATCATGTCAGCATAAACTCCTCTGAAGCAGTCCAGTCAGCACAGTTTTGAAGGCCAGGCCGTTGTTTCTGCTTATTTCTCTCATTTTGCTCTCTCTTCAGGAAGGTAACCCAGGCAATCTCACATCTGTATCGACACCCAATCTCTTAAGTTCAGGGGTATGACGTTTGGTTTCTAAATGAGCTCTCCTTCATGTTTGTTCTGTGCACGGAGCCGTACGCCTTCACTTCCCATCAGTCATTTCAGCCACTCTTGCGTCACATGACATGCTTGCTTGACTAGTGCTGTAACATTTGCTGCGTTGAAAGGATAGTTCACCCAAAAATAAAGTAATTTACTCGTGCTTGTGTCATATTAAACCTGTATGACTTGTCTTCCCGTAGAATGCAAAATAAGATATTTTGAAGACTGTTCACGCTGCTCTTTTCCATAGTTAAATCATACAGTGACCAGGGCCATCAACCTCATCCATAGTCCGTATGACTTGTGTGCTCTATTTCACGTCTTGTGAAGTTGTCTGATAGTTTTGCGTAAGGAACAGACTGAAATTTAAGTAATTTACTGAAAATCTTTCATGTAGCTGTTAAATTTGATTTGCACTTTTGCAAAGTTGACGTTTTGTGGTTTGTTTCTAGTTTAATCTGGCCACATCTTGACACAACATATTCTGTCTTGCTCGTAATGACCATCCTTTAATTTTTTAGAACCTTTTTTAGGCGATAAATGGTTTGCTTTTTTGTGAAATGAGACACATTTAAAACAAATATTGATATTTTTTTTTTCAATGTGAGAGTATCAGTACAGTATCATGAGGAAAATATTGCAGTAGTTTTTAAAAATGGGTTATTGTATGGAAAAGAGCTGTGTGAATGTTCCTTAAAAATCTTTTTTTGCATTCACAGAAGAAAGTTAAATGGAGTTTTAACATTTTGGGTGAAAGTTATTGCAACAGCTAACGTGAACTAACAATGAACAATGTATTTACAGCATTTAATAATACAAATGATTAATTTCTACGTTTACCAATATATTTTTAACATTTTAAGTTCTGTTAAATAATGTATTATGGACAACATGAATTAACAATGAACAATATATGGAATATAAAGTTATGACATTCACTGAATATATTGTTCATAAATGTAAATACGTTAATAAATGTTCTAGAAATGTTGTTTATTGTTAGTTCATTATACCTAATGCACTAATTAATATTATTGAACCTCAAATGTAAAGTGTGGTCCCTTTAACCTACTGTAAGACATTGTAGTTTCTGCTGTTTTTTTACAGTCAAGACTTTGTAGAAGATGTTATGATAGCATCAGTAAGAGTTAGCTAGATAAATTAGGTAACTGTTCTTTTTTTTAAAAGAAAAAGTGGGGGGAAAAAATAGTAAAGAAAAATGTACCTTTACTGAAAATATTTTTTATTTTCGTGAAAAATATATTTTGTAAATTTTTCTTTTCTAAAGAAGAAATATTAAGTAAAATGTAACATTTAATGAAAACATAAATATTTTGGGTAGGTAAAAATATGTAATTAAAATATTTAATATTAATATTTAATATTATATTATATTATATTAAATATTATAATATTAAATAAAATAAATGATGAACTATTATTATTATTATTATTATTATTATACAAAAAAGAAATTGTATATATTTAATTATATATTTAAATAGATAATATTAAATTAGATATTGAATATTAATTTAATCATATATGTTGCTAAAAATAAACATAAAAATGGATCATTCCTTTTAATGGGGACAAATCAACAAATTGAGTGAACCTTTTTACTGTTGATCCCTAAGTCTGGATATGTAAATATGCAGCTCTTTAGTATGAACCCTAAATGTTCTTCTTCTGACATCAAGCAGCTAAACTGTGCATGATAAACACCAGTTGATCCTCTGTTCTCTCCTCTCTGACTAGTTCCTTTCTTCACCCACATATCTTAGAAAAAGGTCCCATTGACATCTGCAGAAGCCTCTCAGACAGATGAAGAAGAGTCTTTGTGCTGCTGTTCAGTCAGTAATAATTAATGGGGTTGAGCTTGTGTTGTAGATGGTACAGGAAGAGGAACCGTACCAGCCAAACTGACCGTTCACAGGAAAACTGCTCTGCAGCTAGATGTGGTTTTTACACAATTCCTGAGAACAGCACGAGTGTTTGAAACGTTCAGGTGTCCTCACACTTCCTCATATGAACAAACAGGCAACTTTCTCGCCATGGCTGTAAACATCACACGCTGTGACCCATGCGCTTCATACCAGCCTCAGCACGCCTTGATCTTCACACGCCTGCCACCTTCCTCCACATTCTCATGTTCATTTTTAAAAGAAAAAGAGGGGGGAAAAAATAGTAAAGAAAAATGTACCTTTACTGAAAATATTTTTTATTTTCGTGAAAAATATATTTTGTAAATTTTTCTTTTCTAAAGAAGAAATATTAAGTAAAATGTAACATTTAATGAAAACATAAATATTTTGGGTAGGTAAAAATATGTAATTAAAATATTTAATATTATATTATTATGTAAAATAAAATAAATGATGAACTATTATTATTATTATTATTATTATACAAAAAAGAAATTGTATATATTTAATTATATATTTAAATAGATAATATTAAATTAGATATTGAATATTAATTTAATCATATATGTTGCTAAAAATAAACATAAAAATGGATCATTCCTTTTAATGGGGACAAATCAACAAATTGAGTGAACCTTTTTACTGTTGATCCCTAAGTCTGGATATGTAAATATGCAGCTCTTTAGTATGAACCCTAAATGTTCTTCTTCTGACATCAAGCAGCTAAACTGTGCATGATAAACACCAGTTGATCCTCTGTTCTCTCCTCTCTGACTGGTTCCTTTCTTCACCCACATATCTTTGAAGAAGGTCCCCATTCACATATTGTCCATTGACATCTGTAGAAGCTTCTCAGACAGATGAGGAAGAGTCTTTGTGCTGCTGTTCAGTCAGTAATGATAAGTGGTTTTGAGCTTGTGCTGTAGATGGTACAGGAAGAGGAACCGCACCAGCCAGGCTGACCGTTCTCAGGAAAACACCTCTGCGGTTAGATGTGGTTTTTACACGATTCCTTAAAGCAGCACGAGGTTTTGAAACGTTCAGGTGTCCTCACACTTCCTCATATGAACAAGCACCCAACTTTCACATGACCAGTCTTTCTCTCTGTGGCTGTAAACATCACACGCAATGACCCATGCGCTTCATCTTCACACGTCTGCCACCTGCCTCCATATTCTCATGTTCAACTCTCACAAGCCTGTGATTCTGTCCGCACGCATCTGAACCTGACCTGTTGCTCTTCTCACAGGAGTACGAGACCAAGGTGTCTAAATCGGGCCAGAGTCCCTCCCTGCCCGCTCAGGGCCGACGGAAGAACCTGGAATTCGAACCATTGTCCACCACAGCGCTCATATTAGAGGACCGTCCCGCGTGAGTAAAAGCTGTTTCTTCCAAGTTGACTAGCTGCAGTTTGGAATAATTTGTTGACAATAAAAGAAAGTTTTTTAGTGATACCTGTATTTACATTTTTAAAATTGTTTTAATATTATTTTATATAAAAATATTATTTTATGTAATCATTTATATAATTATAATTTCTTTCTTCTTGATTTTGAAGAAAATAAATGTTGAAAGGTAGTAGTTTAGGAGTTGACCTGCATATAGTCAAAATAATGTTTATTTGTATATAGTGCCTTTCACATTATACATGTTTCAAAGCAGCTTTATAATAAAGCTTCATCATAAAACTTTTAACTAACCAGGTGCAGCACAATATAAACTAGTGCTTTCATTTTAAGAGATTTTTCTTGTCGTAATCAGCTGTAGTTTGTAATAATCTTTTGACAATAAAATCTTTTGCTCACAATATATCACTTTATTGCATATTTATATTGCAGTTTTTTTGTTTTGTTTTAAATATATTTTTTCACCTTGATTTTAAAAGTCTTGAAATACATACCTATTAATATTTTGATAATTTCATTTTTTTTTGTGCAGAGCTCTGACATAGACAAAAAATCATGTGGTGTTTTTTTTTTCTCCATATTTTAATATCTTCAAGTCTTTTATTGGTTTTAGCCAACTGGAGCTGGGTGACAATATAGATTGCACAGTGCAATGATATAAACAATCAAGCAGGTGAAATTGGCTGTATAGTATATATTACTTTATGTGAGTATACTGCATGTATGTGAATAAAGGTGGATATACAGTACATAGAAATCCGACTTTACATATAGATCTCTGCAATAATAGAGCTCACATTTTGCGATAATTTAAGCTGAGGTTTGCTATATAGTATATATGGCTTTACATGAATATATGTGGGTAAAGTTGGACATTCATTTGTTCTGTGTTGAGACTGAGGATTATGAAACTTGTTCAATGTAGTGAAAGCCTAATTACTGTTTGGTGATATGTATCGCTGCCAAGGGTTAAAGATGCATATAACCAGGTGCAGCACAATATAAACTAGTGCTTTCATTTTAAGAGATTTTTCTTGTCGTAATCAGCTGTAGTTTGTAATAATCTTTTGACAATAAAATATTTTGCTCACAATATATCACTTTATTGCATATTTATATTGCAGTTTTTTTGTTTTGTTTTAAATATATTTTTTCACCTTGATTTTAAAAGTCTTGAAATACATACCTATTAATATTTTGATAATTTCATTTTTTTTTGTGCAGAGCTCTGACATAGACAAAAAATCATGTGGTGTTTTTTTTTTCTCCATATTTTAATATCTTCAAGTCTTTTATTGGTTTTAGCCAACTGGAGCTGGGTGACAATATAGATTGCACAGTGCAATGATATAAACAATCAAGCAGGTGAAATTGGCTGTATAGTATATATTACTTTATGTGAGTATACTGCATGTATGTGAATAAAGGTGGATATACAGTACATAGAAATCCGACTTTACATATAGATCTCTGCAATAATAGAGCTCACATTTTGCGATAATTTAAGCTGAGGTTTGCTATATAGTATATATGGCTTTACATGAATATATGTGGGTGAAGTTGGACATTCATTTGTTCTGTGTTGAGACTGAGGATTATGAAACTTGTTCAGTGTAGTGAAAGCCTAATTACTGTTCGGTGATATGTATCGCTGCCAAGGGTTAAAGATGCATATAAATGACGGTCATTTCACCCGTCCATATCGTACATCCCAAATCAGTTTAAATGAGTTAATTGACCTATCGGTAAGCCCCTCCCCTCGAATGCTGATGAGCCAGAGGCAGTTGAGTATCAGTTGCACGAAGACTGGAACTCGGACATCTTTAGGTTTTAGCGCCATAAAGAAACATTGGAAGATACGAAGCTCTCAATGGTTTGATGGTGTTGATGCTACAACAATTGTAAAACAATACTTGTAACACTGATTTCCTGGTACCCTGTGAGGATGGGCAATGGAATTGACTTTATTCCATTTCCTAAACCCAAACAAGACAAGCAAAATGTCCCTAAGCATTCAACCCCAATCCCAATGAAAAGAAAAACGTTCATTTTCTGGTTGTCATGCTTTCATTAAGTTACAATTTTCATCTGCTCAGGCAGAACGTTAATGTCATCTTGTGCTTCAGCAAGGCATCTCTGGCTAAAACTAGCTAACGTTAAAGTTAGTGAGTCCATACAAACCTAAATAGCGGACTGTTCTCGCGTCTTGTACAGTGTAGGGCAAAAACACATAAACAAAGGTCTACATTTCAGTGCCTCTCCATATTAAAGTGGTTAAATGTAAATTAATTTAATCGTACCCTGCGGTACATGAACAGTGTTGATCCTGGATGTTGTCATCTGCGAGTGTGACGACCGTAACATGAGGCTTCTCCCGCTTGCATTGTGATCTGCAAACCCTCGCTTATAAATTAATCTTGTTGGTAACCACCATATTTATTTTAAAATCTTTTATATATCCCTCCATGGCATATTTAAGTCCCTCTTAAATGGTCGTCCTTCAGTGTCCAAAATTTATCAAAAACATCTTGGGACAAGGTTTTCACACTGACAGCTGTCATTGTAAGACAGTTAGCAACTCCTTTTGTTTGTTTGAGTAACTAAGGAGGCAGGGCTTACCAATAGGTTAATTGAAAGTCGTGGCGTAATACTTACACATACAATAACACAGTAGTTCCCAACCCTGGTCCTGGAGGCACCCCAACACTGGACGTTTTGCATGTCTCCTTAATCAAACACACCTGATTCAGGTCATCAGCTCATTAGTAGAGACTCCAAGACCTGAAATTGATGTGTCAGAGAAAAGAGACATGCAAAATGTGCAGTGTTGGGGTGCCTCCAGGACCAGGGTTGGGAACCACTGCAATAACACACTGTACATACATAGTGCGTAATATATTTAGTCCCCTAGTGGGCAAGCTAAATGGAATTATTTGGTGTTGTACTGTATAATGAAAAGCAAAAACCTTGGGAAAAAAGAAACAACAGTCCTCTTACAATCTAGTCTAAATATTATGTCAATACTTAAGAAGATATGTTTTCTACATTGATTCAACTTTAAGATTCAGTTGTGGGAGTCTTTGAGGTCCTTCCAGGAGAGTACAGGTAGATGTATTGTCACCCTCCTAACTTGTGGCGCAAGTTGCTCAGGATACATTGACCTGCAATACATATATCCTAGCAAACCTCGAGAGGCTCATCTTTCCCAAACAAAGGCCTATAAATAAGACTTAGCACAGACTGGGTTGTATTTCGCCACGCAAGTCTCTTCAGTCCCCAAGTCCTCATGAAGAATAAATGAGCAGTGAAATGTGAGCGTGTCAGCCAAACCATGAGATAAACCAGCGCCCAGGCCTTTTCCAGAAACTTCTCAGTTGTTTCTCAAACATGTCAGCGCTAACAGGTTTCTAGGCTGTATATTTGAGACATTTAATTGACCGTTGTTGTAACAACTGAAATCATTGGCTTCCTTCCTCAGGAACCTCCCTGCTAAGTCGGAGGAGGAAGCGCAGCGCCACCGTCAGGAGTATGATGAAATGGTGGCAGAGGCCAAGAAAAGAGGTACATTTATTAAACAAAGATTATTGGAAAACAGTTGGAAAGAAAATACTATTTTAGTCTTTCCACTTGAGAATTTCATATTTAATTTAATGTTACACACTGAAGAAGGCCTTCAAGCCAAATGTATGAGTTTTTCCTCCGTGTGCAAAATATAATATCACAAAAATTCTGAATTACGAGTATGAATAGCTGAATTTTTTTAAGTAATTAAACAGATTCATGCACCAAAACGAGATATTATGTGACATGAGAGAGAGCACTGTGTAAATAGCCTTGTTGAACTGCATTATAATTCAATGTTACTTGCCATTTCTTTGTAATTATTTGTAAAATGAATTATTAAATTAATTTCTGAGTGAAAATAGTTTCAAAGTAAATTCTATGCCTATTTATATATTTTCCAGAGTACCAAGTTTTTATTGTGTTAATTTGGCTTAAATATTGCTAAATCGCATTAAACATGTCAAGAACACACCTGGGTCATATTTTGTCCCAAAATCAGATGGTTTTATGCAAATGAGGAGCATCATGAGTAATTTATAAAAAAAAAATGTTTTTAATATTTTGAAGTCCATCTCATTGTATTAATGCAATGAATAAATAAATAAATACATTAAAAAAATTATTCTGTAATGAGAAGAAAATATTGCTATTCAGATAAGCCCATTTGAATTATTAAATGTTTTATACATTATGATGGTGGTTCTAGGATTCAAATTTTAAAAAAATATTCACCTAAATACAGTATAAATTAACATTTTACAGAAATCAGAGTTGAAAATCACCACTAAAAATAATAGGAATTAAAACCTAAAAAAAAATAATAAAAAAAAACATTATGGTAACAATAATTTTGGGGAAATATGCATAATTGTCATAAAAATAATGCAAAATAGTCTTGATTTTTTTATTAAAAATAGCTTTGATTTGCATGAATGTGACCCAGACATGTTTTCAAGAGGTTCACCCATACAAAACACACTTGTCACACTAGAGTATCTTTCCCTTTCCAAGACCAAGGTGGTCATTAAATGTGGAAATGTGCGATTTCATTTAGTCGGGAATGCTTTTAGCACACTCTGCCTTGCTAAACTTTAATGTGAGGTAATATGACTGTTGTTCACAGAGCTGAAGGAGGCGCAGAAGAAGAAAAAGCAGATGAAGGAAAGATTTAAACAGGAGGAAAGCATCGCTAATGCCATGGTGGTTTGGAACAACGAAATCCTTCCCAACTGGGAGAGCATGTGAGACAGCCGCACTTCATTATCACAACCTGCAGTGATAATTATGATAAACACATTATCTCTCTTGCTAAAACTAGAGCTGCCTATGTAGGCAGCATAGTGCTTGTTCCCAGTAGGAAGTTCCAATAAATATTAATACCTATGCATATAGATAAATCCAATGTAAAACACACATTTTATTACACTCTGTTCGCTGTTGTCTGCTGCGTGTGTTTCTTCAGGCGTGGCATGCGGCGTGTGAGGGATCTGTGGTGGCAAGGTCTTCCGCCCAACGTGAGGGGGAAAGTCTGGAGTCTGGCCATTGGGAATGAGCTGAACATAACCTCAGGTTTTTTTCTATTTTACTCTCTCTTTCATGTGTCAGTGAAGCGGTTAAGCCCAGGATTAACTAAACCTTTTGGGCAAACATTCTGTCTGAAGTGTGTCATTATGCAGTATTCACATGAATGAATGCAAGACTGCACTGTACAGGTCGGCCTGAAGCGATTTTGAAACCTTCTTTGTAATGAAATTTGGATGAGTTTATTTCTGACACTCCCAAAAGAAAACGATTTTTGCATTTAGGATCTTCAGAAGTGAAAGTCTAAGCTAAATCGAACGTACAGACCAGATATTTCATCTGCCTTTTTAAGGTTTTATGATTAAAGCTGTGATATGCTGTCTGAGAATTGTAACCCTTTTCCCTTTCTGTTCCTCTCAGATTTGTACGAGATCTTTCTCTCGCGGGCCAAGGAGCGCTGGAAGAGCTTCAGAGAGACCGGCACTGAGATGGAGTCAGATGGTACGTCTGTCATCTCTCGCACAGCCCACTGGAGCATTTAGACATGCCAGTCACTCGAACTAATTCACAATTCGATCTGAATGATTCATTAGCGAATAGGCCTGAATGGGTTTTAACAGTCCACTATGCTTACCCAACTTGACAAAATCTCAGTTGGTTCAGTGAATCAGTTAAGCCAATTCACAATTCTGTCTGTATGTTTCATAAGCGAATCAGTCTGAGTTTGAATGGGTTTTAACAATCCACTATGCTTATCTAGTAATCGCAACATGACAAAATCTCAATTGGTTCAGTGAATCAGTTGAGCCGATTCACAATTTGGTCAGAATGGTTCACTAGCGAATCAGTCTGAATTTGAATGGTTTTCAAGTAATTGGAAACTGACAGAAATTGGTTTAATGAATCAGTTGAACCAATTCTCAATTCAGTCAGAATGATGCTTTAGCCAATCTAGTACCTGCTATGTTTATCCAGTTATTGTAAACTGACAAAATCTTGATTGGTTTAATGAATCAGTCGAGCTTCAAATTCAGTCTGAATAATTCATTAGTGAATCAGCCTTAATTTGAATTGTTTTTAACAATCAGTAGGAAAAATTCACAATTGAGTCTGTATGTTTCATTAGGTGCATCAGTCTGAGTTTGAATTGGTTCAGTGAATCAGTTGAGCTGATTCATAGTTCGGTCTGAATGATTCACTAGCGAATCAGCCTGGATTTGACATTTTTTTAACAAAAACGTCTGTTTTACGAATGTACTACAAATGCTCTAAAGAGCGCTGAAGGCGAACAGAAATGAGACATACAGCTCACTGCGTGCAGCGCGTCAGTCACGCTTGTCAGGAAAGTGAGTTAAACACAAACACACATTTTTATCAAATAATACGTCATTTGTAGCGGTTCACTTCCGCGATTTGGTATGATTGCGTTCACATCAGCAGCGAACCGTACCGGAGTTCACATGAACCGTACCCCAGACCACCCTTTTTAAGCGGACTCGGGTACGGTTCGCGGGTGCGCACCCGAGTTCGGAAGACCGCGTTCACATCATCCAAACGTACCGAACTCTGACGTCAATCGAACCCGGGTGCGCACCAAAAGTGTTAGTGTGAAAGCACCCCAAATGATCCATTAGCCATTCTAGTAACTGTAAACTGGCAAAATGTGAATTGGTTTGAATGGGTTTTTTCAACCCACTCTGCTTATCCTGTAATTGTAAACTGACGAAAACTCAGTTGGTTCAATGAATCTGTTGAGCTGATTCACAATTCGGTCAAAATGGTTTATTATCGAATCAGTCTAAATTTGAATGGTTTTAACACTCAGTCTTAATGAAGTTTATTGGTCAGGTTCAATGAATCAGATGAGCTAATTCACAATTTGAATGTTTCCTTAGCGAATCAGTCTGAAATTGAATGGTTTTTAACAATCCACTATGCCGGTAATTGCAAACTGACCAAATTTCATTCAGTTTTGGTCTTGGTCTCATAGAAGTTCATTGGTGAGGAAATGCAATGCTGGTGTGTGTGTGTGTGTGTGTGTGTGTACTGTATGCGAGCGTCTGACTTTCAGTTCTCCCTGGTCGCCTTCCTCCTCATTTTATTGAAATGGTTGTTATTTCCTTCCTGTGCTGCAAGCCCAGTCTCGCTAATCACATGCTAATTCTTGTTTTTGTTTTCTACTATGCCTTCCAGCCATGTACTCTATAAAATGCTGTTTTATTAGCCTCAGCGCTTCATTCATTGATGTGTCTCAATGAATCTGTTAATAAAGCTGTTTTTTCATAAAGTTTGAACACAAACACATCCTCCCTTTCACATCTGGCCCTTATCACAGCACTCAGACTGTTTTGGCCGATGTTAGCCTCCAGCAGTACACTTGAGCAGATCCTCGGAGACTAAAAACACCAGACGCGCCTGTTTATCCACTGTAGAGTATCACAGGACGATTGTGACGTAGATATAGGAGCAATAGATATGGAACAGAATCTGCAAATACTTCAGATATGACATGATATTTTCGAGTAATATTGAGTAATGTTGTGGTTGTTACAGCAGACAGTGCCGACCGTGAGTCCAGTCTGGATCTGATCAAACTGGACATCTCACGCACATTTCCACCGCTCTTCATCTTCCAGAAGGTACTGTTTGCACTCTTCCTGTCACTGTTATAGTATCAGTATAACTGTAAATATTATTAGTGACTACTGTTGCTCTCTCTTGTGTTAGGGTGGGCCGTACCATGATCTCCTGCACAGCCTTCTGGGCGCTTACACTTGCTACAGACCTGACGTGGGATATGTGAGTGATCATTTACAAGGGTCAAATAACAAACAATGAACCATATAACAGTGAGCAAATATTTACAAAGATCTTATGCGTTCCTCTATTGTTTCACATTTGCATATAAAAACATTTCCTTTGAGCAGTTTCTTGAACTATCATAAAACTGGATAGGATAGCTGTATTTAATCAGGTGTTCCATATCTTTTAAGTTTGGGGTTGGTGATATTTTTATTAATTATTATTTTTGAAAGAAGTTTCTTATGCTCACCAAAGCTGCATTTATTTAATCAAAAATACAATAAAAACAAAAAATGTAAATATTATTACAACTCAAAATAATAATATATTCTAATATATTTTGTAATGTATTCTAAAATGTAATTTATTGCTGTGATCCAAAGCTGAATTTTTAGCATCATTACTCCAGTCTTTAGTGTCACATGATCCTTCAGAAATCATTCTAATATGCTGTTTTGCTGCTTAGGAAACATTTTATTGCTATCAATGTTGAAAACAGTTGTGCTACATCATATTTTTGTGGAAACAATGATACTTTTTTTTTTTTCAGGAATCTTTGATTTAATAGACACTTCAAATGAACAGAATTCATTTGAAACAGAAATCCTTTGTAACATTATGAATATCTTTACTGTCACTTTTTATCAATTTAATGCATCCTTGCTAAATAAAAGCATTACATTTTTACTGACCCCGAACCTTTGATCGGTAGTGTAAAAAAGCAAAACTGCAAATGTGAGTTAAATAAAGCATGGCTATTTCTAAATTTGTGACGTTATAAAATTGTGTATAGAATTCTGCTAGTTTAATTCCGTACCTTATTCAAAGGGTCTGTCCACATTACAGCCAGTAGAAATGTCTCTATTTTGGCTGCAGGTTCAGGGAATGTCCTTCATAGCTGCTGTGTTGATTCTCAACCTGGAGGAGGCTGACGCTTTCATCGCCTTCGCCAATCTCCTCAACAAACCCTGTCAGATGGTTTTCTTCAGAGTGGACCATGAGCTGGTACTGTCCCTCCACACGCAACATTTTATGTTTCAGGTTCAAAACAAGTCAAGCTCTGTCGACCGCATCTTTACAGATATTAAACTGAGGGACAAGGCATAACACTGCCCTGGCCCCTGCATCATATTTGTCGAATGAAACCCAATGCTCGTTTCTTACTAAAAATGCTGCTTACTGCTTTTGCTCTAGCATGTCATATAAGGGAAAACACGATTCCTAACACTGTTTCTACACCGGACGCGAGTGGTGCGTCACGACAAAATACTATAGAACCACTCAGTCTATAGAACTCATTATAATCAGTGATGCTGTCTACACTGGATGCAGCGCGACACGACAAATCCCCGACAGTAAACTGCTGCCGCGTTCTATTTATGACGTGCTGACACAAATTTCAAATGATTTTCAATGGTCACTTTGTTGCGTCCAGTCAGTGTAGACAGACTTTAGCTGATGCGGCGCGGCGCGACACGACAACTGTCGCGTCCGGTGTAGACACGGTGTAATGGTTGCCTGTTACATTACAGTACATAAAATTTCACTTACCACATAAACAGAGTAAGGAGAGATGACTGAGGACGATGGCGAATAATTTGCAGATCCTCAGTACCACTGACAAACATATAATCTTGTAAAATGTGTGGCAAGTACTGCCGCTCCATAGTATAAACAGAGTACGTGCGATCGCGAATCTCAAAAGTGAAAGTGAAACTAAAAGCGATTGTGCATTCAAAAGCACGATGCCAGTTTCAATGCCAGGTATAATAGCGGCTCCCTGATGTCTACATATATATGAAATATATATGTAGTATAATTACCCAATTATATAACTGCGAGGAAAATATTGAAATATATATTTTCCTCCCATCTCGTATTTATTCCCTTTAGTGGTTCCGCCTGCACGTCATTTTCTTTCCGAACACGGTATTGGGATGCCACAAAGACAATTCCTATCTTCCTTTGAGCCGAGTTACAACTGTTTGTTCAATTCTCAGATGATTTTCACATGTATGAATGATTCTGAAGACATTTTATGCCTAATTTCCCATTTTTTCACTTCTTTGCAGTTAATTAAGTTAATTGACACTTTTTGAATACTTTTTGTCATTAAAATATCTTTTAGATTTTTTTGTGTCATTTTGACATTTGACTGCTTTTGCTATTTTGCTACGTGCATTGAAGACATATTGACACGTAAAATTCTTATTTTGTGAAAAAAAAACTGTACATGATGGAAAGTTTTTATTGATATTTTGAATATTGATGTATTGATGCTTTTGATCAAATTAGGTAATATTAGGCCTTTATTGCAAATCAGCAGAATTGCTTTTTAAATGCCAGCATAGTTTATTTCTGGGTGGATTGATTGAGTGGATTTTGACACATACAGCTTCTGCATGAATTAGTAAGATGTTTTAACTTTGTGTCTCTTTCTTGTTAGATGCTGAAGTACTTTGCAGCATTTGAGGTGTTTTTCGAGGAAAACCTCCCGAGACTTTTTAATCACTTCAAGAGCTCCAACCTCACGCCTGACCTGTATCTCATAGACTGGTGAGTACATGAAGAACCTTCTGATGAAGAAAAGCACTTCTTACAAATCTTAAAGATGATAAAATGAGGCCGAAAACTAATTGCGATGTGTAAATCTGAGTAAGCGCATGACATTTAGGTGTAGATCCTGAAGCTACGTTCCATTCAAAGCCAGAAGACTGTCTTTTTCATTCCCAAATCTGTGTTTACAGGATCTTCACCCTCTACACTAAGTCCCTGCCGCTGGATGTGGCGTGTCGGGTGTGGGACGTGTTCTGCAGAGACGGGGAGGAGTTCCTGTTCCGCACGGGGCTTGGGATTCTGCGGCTCTACGAGGAAGTGCTCCTGCAGATGGACTTCATCCACATCGCTCAGTTCCTGACCAGACTCCCAGAGGACATGCCGTCCGAACGCCTTTTCAGCTGCATCGCCAACACTCAGATGATCAGCGGCAACAGGAAGTGGATACAGGTCATTTCCTGTGTGCGCTGTTACAGTGATCAACCTGTGGAGTTTGTTTGTTTGTGAGGGAAATGCAGGCAGGAAATTAAATGCAAATACACTTCCTGATACATTTTGTTCTCTTCAAAGATTCTTTTGCATAACTTCTATTATTAGATATCTAGTAAAATGAATTTGGGCAGAATTTTCATACTTTCGGTAAACGAACCCTTTAGTTTGAGCATAGCTCACACTACAGGGAACTTTATTCTTCTACAGAACATTGTGATTTGTGTGGTGTTCACCCAAAAAATAAAAATGTGTTGTAAATCTTTTCATCTTCAGGCCATCCAAGATGTAGATGAGAACAGATTTGAAGAAATGTAGCATCACATCACTTGCTCACCAGTGGATCCTCTGCAGTGAATGGGTGCCGTCAGAATGAGAGTCCAAACAGCTGATAAAAACATCACAATAATCCACAAGTAATCCACACCACTCCAGTCCATCAGTTAACATCCTGTGAAGCCAAAAGCTGTATGTTTGTAAGAAACATATCCATCATTAATGCGTTTTAACTTAAAACCATTGCTTCTGGCCAAAATACCAGTCCATAATGCATAGTAACGCTTCCTCCAATGAAAAAAGTCCATCCCCTGTTTTCACTTCACAAGATTGGAATTGCATGGATTACTTGTGGATTATTGTGATGTTTTTATCAGCTGTTTGGACTCTCCTTCTGACTGCACCCATTCACTGCAGAGGATCCATTGAGGAACTATTCCTTTAACATTTCTGTTAATCTCGTCTCTTTCTCTTCATCAGGTGTTTAATGCCCTCCTAAAGGATAAAGAAATGGAAAAAAGCAGCAGTCCTACAGTGAAAAACTCTTGAACTCTCACCATTTTTATATTTCCAGTTGGCTTTAACTCTCGATTAGAAGAGAGGATTGTATAAAACGGGCTCAAAGAAATGAAATGAAGCTTGAAACTTGATTTCTTTGTAACCGTGCCAGTATTACTGAAGTTACACATTTGTAAATGAGTTAAAAATATAAGCCTTTTATGAGAAAATATTCCACCAGCTTAGTCATGTACTGTACCGGATACCAGCATCAGGCTTTTTCTTAATATTCCTCCTTATGGAGAGAACTGGTGCATTTGACGTGTGCTGACATACACATTAACTCATTTTGTATGCTGAAGCATGTTCATTCAGAGCCTGTTTAATGCACTTGAGATTTTAATAATAGAATAGCAAGGTTCTGAGATTTTAAAAAATTTGATTTTTTTTTTTTAAGCGGTTTTGTCTTGTAGAACAAGACCTTAATGAAGTGCAATAGAATATGTCAGATGCAGTTAATAATTCAGGAATAATGCATATAGTGTGTTGAGATATTTGAAAGCATTTTGCTGCTTCTTGCCGAAGAATTATTGCATTTTTCGTAGTCCTATTGTGCTACTTTAATTTCTTCTTTTAAAACACTAATATGTAGCCTAGGGCTGCAAAACGATTAATTGCGATTAATCGGATTCAAAATAAAAGTTTATGTTTACATACTATATGTGTGTGTACTGTGTATATTTATTATGTATATAGAAATACACACACATATATTTATATACGTATATTAAAAAATGATGTGTATGTATATATATTTATACTTTTATATAATTTATGTTATATATAAATATAAATATTTTATATATAAATCTAACATTTTTCCTTAATATATACATGTATGTGTGTTTATTTATATATACATAGTAAATATACACAGTACACACACATATAGTGTGTAAACAAACTTGAATGCGATTAATCGTTTTGCAGCCAATCTAGCCTAATTTTTAATCTAAATGTTATTAATGTTAGTAAGACAGTATGTGAAGAATGCATTCAGAGATTTGTGTACTTAAGGTACAAATTCTAAAATGAACTGACATTTGCCAGTTCAATTATAAGAATGTGTGGTGTAATAATCAAATGTGTAATTTTTCTCTGTTTGATTTCTGTTCTATTATTTGACCAAATGCATTGTTTGTCATGGATTTGAACCCAATATGTGTAAATATTGGGTCTCAAAACATTTTTTGATTTGGTAATGTTGTATCTTGATGAAAAATGTAAATTGTGTCATTAATTCTTGGTTTGTTTTCTACACACTCCTGGTTTTATTGTACAGTTTTCATACTTCAGTGAAGATAAATTGTAAATAGGTGACCTGTTTGACACCACAAAATTCAAATGTGTAAATAAATCTAAAACTACTATTATAGTTGTTGTATCTTTTTAAAATTAATTGCGACTTGCTTTTGTTCTTTATACAGTATATGTACAGTATACCTATAGCAAAAAAATATTAATAATAGTCATTTTTAACAATTTGAAGTAATCAACCCAACAGCAATTTGTAATTCAGAAAGCTTTAAGGCATTCCATTTTTCAGCTGCTTAAAAATAAATAATGAAAATAATGAAAATAAATGACTTGAAGCAGCTTATAATAATTGTTATTTTGATCTAAGAGTTGGACGTCTTCTCAGTGTGTTTTTTCCTCCGGATCACAAGGTGGCGCTCAAAGGCAACGTAACCTTTGTCTCTCCATTCATGTAGCATCTCCCTTAGTTTACTTCCTGTCCATGTGGTGCATGTGTGAAGCGTGCATACTTACACTTTTTTTTAGTTTTTGATTAAACTGATTTACACATTTGAAGCGTCTTCGATAGTTGAGTCGAATCACAGATCAACATGGGCCCGGTAAGTTAATAATTAAATAATACGCAAACGAAAGCGCGAGGGAATATCTCCAGCTTCTGTTAGCCATGTTTCGCTGCTTCACTTAACGTTACATTTAAATGAGTGTTTAAGAGTGTCGCTTGAGATTGAACAACCCTTGTTTTTATGTATTAGTCAAAATTTTGGCTCGTCAATACTAGTATAACTTTTACTGTTTATCATACTGTACTAGTGTAATCCCTACGGGTTTGTATCAAGCTACACTTTTCAACCCCTACGTTATTGTTTCATTGTACTATACTAGTTTTTTTCCCTAATATCAGAGTATACTAGTATAAACCCGCGGTGTGGCGTATATAACATGCTAGTCAACCCGTATCATGTACTAATAGTTAACCTCTCATTGTTTTAGTTAACTTTGTGGTATTTGTAACTTTGACTGAAAGCAATTTATGTCAAGTCATGTTTTTCTTGTAATATGTTATATCTTGAGGGGATTCCGTTGTACTGAACTATATTCACCTTTAATCTGAACACCGTTTATTTCTATATAAAGTAACTCATTCTATACTGATTTTCAGTTATTGCCGTATTTATATTAAAAATAGTGCAAAAATATTTAAAATCGAATGATTTGATTTTGATGTAGACTCTCTGGTGTAAAAGGGTAATGAAAATCACATTTTGGCATATGATATTATGCAAGCCAGCAGCCTCTGAATTCTGTTTTGCTTCATCTGTCATATAAAAACGTTGTGTCTTATGTATTATTATAGCATACACTAGCATGCATTATTTAGCTGTGCTTTTATGCATCTTTCACACAAGGCTTCCAAAAGGAACAAGAAAAAGAAGCCTAGCTTCAGAAAATTACTGAAAACCAGCAATCTGAAGCTGGAAAACAAACAGAAGAATCGGCAGTTTAAGCAACAGAGCTCAGCTAAGAAACAACGCAAAGAACATAGGAAACTTCGGCAAGCCATTACAGATGTCTCCCATAAGACCCTCAAACCCCTGGAGCGCTATAAGAAGAAACCAGGTGAGTGAAACCGTTTCATATGAACTCTCATGCTGTGTATTAGGATAGTTTTGTAATGTTGATGACGTATCATAACAGAAGGGGAAGAAGAGGAGGACGAGGAGGAGTTCCTGGAGTCTCTGCCTGTAGACATGATGGATGAGGATGACCTCGAACAGATCAGAGCCATGGCAAAGAAAGCTTCCTTTCTGACTCGAGACATCTCATCCTGGTAAGCAGCAGCAGCAGCACACTTTGGCGCTTGTTAATCACTTTATACACACTCTATACACTGTCATCCGCTGATATTGTCTGTTGTGTGATCATATTTCCTCCTCTTTTCTTTTGTAGCGCTCCAGTACATGCCAAAAAGCGCAAGTCCGAGCAGCAGGTGAAGAAGTATGAGAAGATGCCCAGGAAGATGCAGCAGGAGGAAGAGAAAGAACTCATTCATCTGCTGCCCATCAAAGACAAGAGCGGCCTGATCCCTCAGAGCATGGAGAAACCTGGTGTGTGTTATCACATGACTTTCAGTGAATGCTGGGGAGGATTTGGGATTAACTGGCTGATTGTTTCCTCTAGTTGTGCCGGAGGCAGAGGAAGAGGAGGAACCGATCGACCAGGATGAGTTAAAAGAAGGTTGGTGTGGATTTTCATGTATTTTTTTTCAAATGCAACCTTGAAATGGCTTTAATCTCAAGGGTGTGTTTAAGGGTGCTTTCACACTAGCACTTTTGGTGCGCACCTGGGTTCGATTGACGTCAGAGTTCGGTTCGTTTGGATGATGTGAACGCTGTCTTCCGAACTCGGGTGCGCATCTGCGAATCGTACCCGAGTCTGCTTAAAAAGGGTGGTCTGGGGTACGGTTCATGTGAACTCCGGTACGGTTCGCTGCTGATGTGAATGCAATCGTACCAAATAGTGGTCGACCGATATTGTTTTTTTGACAGCCGATGCCGATATCTTGGCAGGCAGGGTGGCCGATATAATTTTATTTATTTTAATTAATATTTAAGAAATTTGAAATAATTAGAAAATTGATTAAAAAATAAATGTTAAATAAACATACTTATACTTTAGATGACAAAGTATTTTTCACAAATAAATAAATATTTAAAAAATATATAATTACAAAGTAAGTAAACACTGTAACCAACAGAGCACTCAGTACTCTGGGAAGTTTGTGTGCATTAATCATATTTTTTCAAATAAAGCCAAGGTAACACTCATTTTACATACGGCACACAGTGAAAATGACATGAATATGGCAGTGGGCAGCATAATTTAAAATCACGAGTTTAAAGTTATCTTATCGGCCGATGCCGATATTTAAAAAAAAAAAGCCAAATATCGGCCGATATATCGGTCGACTACTAGTACCAAATCGCGGAAGTGAACCGCTATTAATGACGTATTATTTGATACAAATGTGTGTTTGTGTGTGTTTAACTCACTTTCCTGACGAGCGTGACTGACGTGCTGCAAACAGAGAGCTGTATATCTCATTTCTGTTCGCCTTCAGCATTCTTTTGAGCATTTGCAGTACATTCGTAAGACAGAAGTAAGTGCCGTTATGTACCGAAGCTTTGTAAACAAAACGAACGGTTCAAAAACGTAAATATATAAAAGTGCAGAGAGCAATGTTATGCATTTGCCGCCTTCTCTTGCACCATCGTTACTAAGCAACGGGGTAAACAGCTGCTGGCTTGTTGACGCAAACGAACCGCGGTTCGGACCCAAATAAAATATGAACGCAGTCCAGCGGGGGCAGGGGGAGGGGGGAGCAATCCAACTCGGGTTCGGACCAGGCAAGCGAACCAAGTCTGAAAGCACCCTAAGAAAGTGCTGTAATAGTTTTGTTGCCACGTAATGTTTTAGGAGAAATTTCCAAACTCCAATCCTTTTGACGCAAAATATTAGTTAATATTATATATATATTATTATATTATTATAATTTAGCTACACATTTGCATGTTCATTGTTCTCTGACGTCGGTTATTGGTTACATGACATTTTATTACACGTATTATTACATATATATATGTTTGATTTTGTTTTAATAATATCAGAGGAGGAACCCGAGAGTGTTCCATTGTTAACTCCTCAGGAGCAACTAGAGCTTCGCACTGAGAGACTGACGGAGAAGAAACTGCGCATCGCAAGTCTGTCGTCTGCAGTACTCGCAGATCCACATGTCAATGTAAGACAGCCCTTCACAATCATCTTCTGGATTATTGTCGTCACATGTATGATGACGTTCCTCGTGTGTTTCAGATCAAGAAGCTGAAGGAGTTGAGGGCCATGCTGATGGAGACGGACCCGTGCGTCGCCATCACGGTCAGAAAGCTAGTCATGGTGTCCCTCCTGGAGGTGTTTAAGGACATTGTGCCGTCATATCGAATCCGACCGCTGACGGAAGAGGAGAAAGCTACAAAGGTGCAGTGCCCCACTGTTAAATATGATTTCCCTTCACCTTTGTGCATAAAAGAGTTCAGTGCACTATGAAAATGTGTTGAAGCTGTTAGAGCAACTTCAGCTTTAGTCCTAAACAGCTTTTCTTGAAACTGAGCTGCAAGAACACCCAGGAAATGCTTGAATTTCTGATGGCAGACAGATGAATACATTGTCACATTTCTGGCCAACATTTTGGGCTCCCCTCCCACATATCCTTAAAAAGCCATAAAACATAAAAAAAACATCTCAAATTATGGTTTTAGGAGGTCTTAAATTTGGAGAAGGAAAAAATGAATTGCAAAAAAAGGAAATTAGTAAGTTTAATAAAGTCACACTGCAGCACTATTGCACATTCAGAGCGGTTCGCAATCAATGAATATCGCAAATTTATGAACTACTGCTGATGAATTGCGTTCTTTACTTTATGGTGTTTATATTGTAATATATTGTACTTGGTTGTAAGAAGGCATATTTGTAATCTCTTTCTGAGTGAGCAGCTAGAAATATTGAAGCATAGACATTTCAAAATAAGAGTCCTGCTGTATTTTGGCCTTGTTTATAATTAAATGTCCCTCATTTTCCGTCAGATGCCTTTTCTGGTTATTATTGATATTTTTGGGTGCATACTAAACTGTATTTAGCATTTAGGTTAAGGTAAACCCTTGAAGCTTCTTCCTGGGCTGCTATTATTGAACGCTATTATATTATTGAATAGAAATTATAATAGTTTTTTGTCTTTCTTTAAACAAATTATTATTGTATGGGCAAAATCCAATATCAGTTTATCTCTAATATGTGTGTATTGATATATTACACTACATACACTAACATCAATGCATATGTATATATTAAATTATTATGAATTTTATATTTGCAGTTACCATTAGCAAGAATCTGACAAGTTTTGTTTGTTTGTTTGAGATTGATTGGATTTGTTATACAGTATTAAATTTCTTTGTGCACGTCTTAAAGGCTTGTTCACACCGGGACGAATATCGCGCGCGATTATCGATTGTACTTGGTTGTAAGAAGGCATATTTGTAATCTCTTTCTGAGTGAGCAGCTAGAAATATTGAAGCATAGACATTTCAAAATAAGAGTCCTGCTGTATTTTGGCCTTGTTTATAATTAAATGTCCCTCATTTTCCGTCAGATGCCTTTTCTGGTTATTATTGATATTTTTGGGTGCATACTAAACTGTATTTAGCATTTAGGTTAAGGTAAACCCTTGAAGCTTCTTCCTGGGCTGCTATTATTGAACGCTATTATATTATTGAATAGAAATTATAATAGTTTTTTGTCTTTCTTTAAACAAATTATTATTGTATGGGCAAAATCCAATATCAGTTTATCTCTAATATGTGTGTATTGATATATTACACTACATACACTAACATCAATGCATATGTATATATTAAATTATTATGAATTTTATATTTGCAGTTACCATTTAGCAAGAATCTGACAAGTTTTGCCAATGTGAGTGTGCACACCGCGCGTGAGGCGTAAAAGCGTCATTTTTTTTAAAAAACGCCTCTACTTGTTATAATGTTTTCTGAATTGTTGTTGTGCTTTCTGAATTGTTATTTTGTTTTTTAGACTTGCATTTGCGTTTGTAATTTGTTATTTTGTTTTCAGAATTGTGATTTGCTTCGCACTTCTCGGCCACCGTACAAACGCGACAGCGGCTACAAAAATCTCATAAGAGGGAGTTGTTATGGAGAGGAATTGCAGATGAAATAGGATTCGATGTGTACCGGGGTATTTCTGTTTTTCATTAAGCGCCATCTAATGTCAGGGAGTGAATTTGCACGTTCACTCGGCTCATCGCCTGCGAAAATCGCTTGGGTATGAACACAAAAGACGCGTCGAAAAACGTCGGCGATAAGCGTGCGCGATAATCGTCCCGGTGTGTACGAGGCTTAAAAGTCTTCAATATGATTTTAAAAACTGCAGATACCCTGGATAATGAAGCAGGATAGAAAATTAGTAAAATATGGGTGAATCTGCCAAATTATATGCTGTTTTTGTATTAGATTTGGACTGAAGTTTTATTTTGGAAAGGTTAGGATTATTTCAGTCTGAGAAGGCAGCGTAAAAGCACAGCAGCAAAAACTGACCTGTTTGTTTTTAACAGTGAGAGTGAAAAATGCTCATCAGAAGTGAACTCTTTGGATACGTGGACCCAAAAGAAAATAACAATATTAAAATGCAAGAAATAAATGACCCATTGAAGCATTTTCTGTTCTTCTCCAGGTGAAAAAAGAGACGCTGCAGCTGAGGGAGTTTGAGGAGGGTCTCGTCAGCCAGTATAAGTTTTTCTTGGAAGATCTGGAACAGATAGTCAAAGGTACATCAAATGCTCTGTGTTCTTAGCTTCCCATCAGCCCATTCATTCTCATCACGACCATCTGATCTGATGCGGTTTCAGACTGGAAGCAGAAGAAGCAGAAGAGAAGTCAGGCCGTGTCTCTTCAGAGTTATAAAGGTCTTGCTGAAGTGGCCATCAGGTGCATCTGTGATCTCCTGGTAGCTCTGCCACACTTCAATTTCCACAACAACATCGTAGTCATGGTGGTGCCTCTGCTGAGCGACCCCGTCAGGAAGGTCCGTCTGCTAGCGATATTTGCTTGAAAGACTCAACATTTGGAGATTTGCTCATCATTTAGATGTTGTCATTTTGTGCTCAGGTGTCTGAGATGTGTTGTGAAGCCGTCAGGAAACTGCTGAAGCAGGATAAACTGGGTCAGGCCTCATTAGCGGTGGTGAAGGTCATCTCAGGCATGGTCAAGGGCAGGAACTACAAGGTCAAACCTGAGGTACAACCATCATACTGTGTTGAACGGTTCCAACAAGTTTTGTCTCATCTGTCAATGCTGTACAGAACAAACAGGCAAAATGTACATGACATAAACATTCATTACAGAGAATTATTTGATTGGAATGGACAGTTTGCTTTTTAAAACTTGTAAACAGTTTTGGGTTTTCTTTCAATTAAAGAACACGGTCAGATTTGGACTTTTTCTATTTATTATTTTTTGGTTAGTGTCATTAGTATTATTATTAGTATTTTTTATTGGTTTTTATTATATAGTTAAATATAATAAAATGTATATTAATGCATATTAAAATTCTATTTTATAGAGTTCTTGTTACCCTACATTTATTATTAATGTTTTAAATAAATTTTTTCATGTTATTTTTACTGTTTTCATAATCATTTTAGTTAAAATTATAGTAATTTTGTTATTTAATTTCAGTTAAACCAAATGAAAATGAGATGTTGGTTTGAAAAGTAGCTAAAATAAGTTTAAGGTTTTTATATTAAGGTTTATATACTTTATTTTAATTTTAATTTTATTTATTTCTTTAAGTATTTATTTCAAGTAATGGCATGTTTTTTATGGTTTTAGTTTTTGTTAGCTTTATTAACGCCGGTCTAGAGTTTTGAAGTGCAACGCAAATAATATGTATTTATGTATATTAGGGCTGCACGATAAATCGCATGCGATGTTTAACGCGCATCTTATCAGTAAAGCCGGTTCTGTAATCAGCGGTAAATCTCCATCACCTGCGTGCTTTCACATTGAGCAGCATTAACTAAACAGAGTACCCCAGCGATTTAAGACTGGTTTTGTGCTCCAGGATCACACACACACACACACATATATATATATATATATATATATATATATATATATATATATATTAAACAGAAAAGTAAAGTTTACTATAGTACAGAGAAGTTGCACTTCTGATAAATTCTCTGATTTTATTGGCTCACGTCAAACAAACTCTGCAAGGGTCACAGTATCATTGCTAAACTGTGACTTTAGCCATGCGTTAAGTTGTGATGATTTATAGCATCTTGATGCAGATGTTTTGAATGGCTGATTTTTTTTACTGGTGTGTTGTGCTGTGAACGCACAGGTGCTGAACTGTCTTCACTGTCTGAGAATAAAAGAAGTGGAAATGAAGAAAGATACAGAAGATTCTGCGCCAAAAAAGAAGTTCATGTCCTTCAAGGAGAAGCGGACAAATTTGTCCAGGATGCAGCGGAAGGTTTGAACTGGGCTGAATCTTATTTCACATAAATGTCATGATTTGAAGTTGTGCAGTGATATGAGTCAGCGTTCACTGGACACATGCTTTGTGTATATATACACTACCTTTCAAAAGTTAGGGGTCAATAAGTAGTCTCTTCTGCTCACCAAGGTACAGTAAAAACAGTAATATTGTGAAATATTACAATTTAAAATAACTGTTTTCTATTGGAATATAATTTTACATTTTAATTCATTTCTGTAAATGCAAAGCTTTGCAAAACTGGTATATATATACATATTATTTTTTCAGTTTTGTGACCTTGATCAAATCTTCTTGTCCTCAACAGTGGAAGAAAGCAGAGGAGAAGCTACAGAAAGAGCTTCTAGAAGCTGAGGCTTCAGAGAGCAAGGACAAGAAAATTAAATTGGTGAGTCTTACTACAGTCGATGGAGAACTTGTATTCACATAGCTGTATATTCACTTTCGCCCATCGTTTTATTCCAGCACACAGAGACGCTGAACATTGTGTTTCTCACCTACTTCAGAATACTGAAGAAAGCTCAGAAGTCCATCTTACTGCCCTCCGTTTTAGAAGGTCTTGCAAAGTAAGAGCCACATGATGTGTGTAACTGCTTTATTATAGTGTTATTACACTGTAATAAAGCGTTCTGGTCAGTATTCCTCTGTGTTCTTGATTAACATGGTTCAAACTGTTTCCTGCAGGTTTGCTCATTTGATAAACTTGGAGTTCTTCGATGATTTGTTGGCGGTGCTGTACGGCCTCATCACATCAGGTGTAAGTGTTTCTACCAGGAGCGCCTGCTTCACGTCACATTTCACGCATTAACATCTCAGCGTTTTGGTTCTCTCAGGATCTGATGTATCGCGAGAGCCTTCACTGCATCCTCACCTCCTTCCACATCCTCTCAGGACAAGGTCAGTGCCGCCACAGCTCTGGTTTCGCAAACATCTCGTCCTCGCTGAGCTAAAACACATCTCTGTTTGCAACAGGTGACGTCCTCAACATCGACCCTTTGAAATTCTACAACCACTTATACAAAACGCTGCTGACGCTGCACGCAGGTGAGATCTTCTCCAGTGTCTCTTTGTTCTGCACATGCAGTGACACTGGGTTATTTAATATGAGTGAGAACATCAGTCACTTACACACCGTGGTGTCCCGGACATTTATTTTTAAGAATTAAATGCACAACTGCGAGACCCTCAAAAAAAAGTTTAAACTAAAATGGTTTAAAACACGTGATTTCAGCGTGATAGACATGATAATCAAAACCAAAGAGATATTTTTTTAGCAGAGTATATGAGGTAGGAGCTGTAAAGGCACTGTTCTATTCTGGAAAAGGGGGCGGGGAACAGCAGCTCATTTGCATTTAAAGAGACATGCACAAAAACAGCATGTTTCTGCTTCCACTCAAAATATGCATTTTCAAAATGATATAATAAATTGTCTGTGGGGTATTTTGAGCTGAAACTTGACAGACACATTCTGGGGACACCTGAGACATATTACATATTCAGGATTCGTACCGTCATGAAAAACCTGGAAAAGTCATGGAATTTTAAAACGGCAATTTCCAGGCCTGGAAAAGTTTTGGAAAAATAAATAAACCCAGAACGTTTTGGAAAAGTCATGGAAATCTATTTCACAAATCTCTGTTTAATAAAATTATGTTAAATCAGGTCCTGAATTTCGGTGCGGGATTGCGCATAGGCTATATCGCATAGTTTTAGGGGCCGTTCACATATCGCGTCTTTTGCGCGCTCAAATTCGTTATTTCAAATGTAGACGCGCGGCAGGGCGCTCATAATGGAAGCGACGCGGTCGCGACGCGCTCATTTTTTCCAGGCCGCGACCGCACTGCATCGAGATAAACACATTTCAACTTTTCAGAATGCCGCAAGCGCACCGCGGGTCATGTGACAAGAACCAACCAATCAGCTTCATCCTTTCCCGTAACAACATTGAAAGCTCAGCCAAGATGAAGGAACAGCTGATCATAGCCCTACAGGGATAGCCATTTTTAAATAAATTTAGTAGCAGAGCTACTGCAAGCGATTTTTAGTGCTGCAAATCCATTTACACTTTGCTGAAACTAACGCGTCTTCATGGACAGCGCAGGTCATGGTTGCTTAGCAACGGCAGACGCCTCCGACTTTCTCTTCAAACGGCTTCACATCGGCGCATCTCATCTGCACTAAAGACTTTCGCTCATGTTTCAGTACAGTTGACAGAATTGTCACTTGCCTAATCGGCTCATTGTTGCATCGTCACAAAAATGTATTATTCATTTGCACATCTTTTTAAGCCATTCGGTACTGGCGCGCTCCATGAGTTTCCTGTGCGCTCAGTCACGTCCAAAGGGCGCGCGTGTAAAGCCGCCTTGCGAGTACCAAATTGAGTTTGGTACCAAACAAGCTCAGTAGAACCCTGCACGGGCCTCAAACATAGGGCCCTTGTCCGACAGATTATCAGAATTACTGTCCGAGTACAACTGTAGCCCGTGTCTTTTTTCTCTGTCTTGACAGTCGCGGTAGGGCTCGTGTTGTTTCCACCAGCGCGGCAAATCCTTTTCATCACCATAATAATTGATGGATATCTAAAATATAAAAATAAGGATGAAGCCTAAAACAAGCCCGATGCCCAGCTTGTTGCGTTTAAGCGGCAAAAATACACACAAAATGACGTTAAAATGAGTATCCTCATAAGCACTGTCTGTTTTTTCTTAAGCAAATGTAAACAGTTGCGAAAGAGAACAGTTTCCAAAACGAAATTCAGGTCCTGATTTTAACTGAGTTAAATGATAATATTCAGTGATGTGATTTGTTCTCTGTGTGGAGTAACGTCTGGCGCAGTTGCAGCTTGTACTTATTACTAAAACAAGAATGCAAACAATAGCATTAATAGTCATTCATTTTAGTTAACATATGCTATGATAATTTGAACAGATTTTTATTCTTATTGTAAAATAATGGAACATTTGGTCATGAATATTGTCTGAAAAGTCATGGAAATGTATTAGTAATAATCAGGGATGCACCGATGTATCAGCCGCCGATATTTATCGGACGATTTTTTATTATTTTAAAGCCATCAGCATATCGGAAATAGCATGAAAAAACCGCCAAGCATTAGGCCTACATTTAAGTGAAAATGAATGGCAGGTAATATGCATCTTTTTATTTGAAACCAGTGTAGAACACTGATTCACACAAGGTCACATCAAGCACCTGCAGTGTTCCTGTGAACGGAGAAAACAGAATAAAACTGTATAGGCTACATAAAAAGGAATATATAGGCCTATACACAAAATATATTTCACTTAAATCATTAACAGATTGACAAAACGAAAGAAAAAAAATTGTGCTGAGTTTCGGATAATTGTAACGCGCTCTGAAGTTCACGGGGAAAAAAACGAGACTGCAGAAAGAAGTTTTCTTTATTTTACAAAAGCTTTTCAGTTTTGAATGATGTTTTGCTTCTATCTGTATGACAAACCAGCGTTGGTATGACCATAAATTATGGAGTAACAGTTGGGAAAACAATGCATTGATCGCATTGGTGCCTCACACGCACATACAACACATTTGTGCTAATTTGACATCGCAGCTTGTTCATTATCAAAATAAAATACAGTTAAAGAAACATAAAAAGCTACACTGCTCAATTTAAATAGTCCGTACAGTCTGTGCCGTTCAGTGTAACCAGCGCCTCACTGAAGGATGATGTTTTACGTCGATACTGCAAATGAAGAACAAAGCCCATAGTTTACATAATAAATAATAGGTTAGCATCCAGATACTTCGCAAATATGGAAACATTTGGATTCGTGCAGAATGAGAGAGGTAGGTTTCAGTTTTGTTTTTAAATTAATTGGTTTTGGTTTGACGCCTATATTTAGCCTAAATACAACTTTAGAGGATTTGTTGTGGAGAGAAGTTACCATTTACCATTATTTTAGCCTACATTATTTCTGAATGTAATAATAAAATGAAAGGTACAGCCTACTAATTTAGGCAGGTTTTTTTCTTCTCAAAATGAATGCTTATAGGAGTAGCGTTTTTTTAATCATTCTGAAACTTTTTTAAATATCTTGAAAAAAAATCTTTAATGTTTTTATTGCGTTGACAGTTTTTTCTTTTGTTTAATACATTTGGTCTTTGGTAAATCTAGTCTGGCTATGACTAAGAGAGATCATTCAAGACTCTCTTCATGATTTATTTTTTATTTTTGAGTAAATTAAACGCTGTACTTTATTACTATTATTATTATTATTATTGGCAAAGAAAACGTTTTTAAAATAATGTTATTAATCGGTATGTTTTCTACTCAAACCGGTTTCACAGAGGAACGCAGGAACAGAAACGTTCAAATACGGATTCTGCTTGGAGTGAACCAATCTTTTTTGTTTTGTTTTTTTCCTCATTTTTAAGCCTTGCTTTATGCAAATTGACCAATATTGGTATCGGAATCCGCGAATAGTTGTTCGTTAAAATCGGTATCGGCCAAAAAAAAAATCCTATTGGTGCATCCCTAGTAAAAATGTGTAGGAACCCTGCATATTGTAAAAAGGGGCATAATAGGTCTCCCTTAAGAAACATTCACTTGAGATGTAGAAATGAAGGCCTGGTTTCACAGACAGGGCTTAGACTAAACCAGGATTAGTCTTAAAAAAACATTACTGGTGTGCATCTTGAGACAAAACAAAGGCACTGATATTTTTTAAGATCAGTCAGTACAAGTTTCTTTCAGTTGAAACGGCTCAGAATTACATTTTAGTCTGGAGGCTTAAGCACAAAGGCACTGATATTTTTTAAGATCAGTCAGTACAAGTTTCTTTCAGTTGAAACGGCTCAGAATTACATTTTAGTCTGGGACTAGGCTTAAGCCTTGTCTGTGAAACCAGGGGTATATCGTGTTTCCTGAGAGACTGAACAAAACGTTCGTTTAAAACAAGACTTCTTCTGTCATTTTGCTTCGCAAGTAAATGTAACTTGATTTAAGGATCTTTAGAGATTTGCACTGGAAATAAGACAAAATTACTGAGGAAGAACATAATGAAGGTCCCTAAATTTACCTGCAGAATCACTGGCCTATTATTGAACATATAATTCACAAATGTCATTAGCTGTTTCCATCCATGTATTTTTACGCTAGTTTTGGGATATTGCATAAGAACACTGGATTGAAACACCATGATGTGAAGAAAATATCAATATGCACATAAATGTATATGCTCAAATGAGGTAGATTTTTTTAATTCTATGTGAAAATGTATGCACAATCTGTTGCCAAAAAAAACGTACGTTGAAAATGTACTTTGAAACATTTTTCATTTAGAAATTGCAACTAAAAATTGCAACCAAGTCTAAGGAAGCTTGTTTCCACCACAAGATAAAAAAAATTGCATTTTGCAACTATCACAACACACACAGCAGGAAACATCCATTTAAGAGCTGAAAAGCTGTTTTGTATACAATAAATGCCCCAAGATACCAGCAGAGTCTTTATTGAGTTTATCATGGGCACTGCCGTTTCACCAAACATGGATTTTTTTTCCAACACTATTTATTGATGAATGCGGTTGATTCAGTGGTTTCAAGTAAACAAATAACCCAATATTGACATCACAATATTGATGATACATTCCTATAGAGCTTTATGTGTGCTGAAAACCATCACTAGTAGAACAGTCAGAAGTTCTTAGATTAATTATCAAATAACAGCATTGTGTCACACTAAACACTTGCTTGTTCGAAACGAAGCGATGGGAAATATACATTGAAGAGATATTAAAGGATATAATGCTGTAGTGGACCACATATAAAATACACTTCAGTGGTGCCTACATTCACTTAAAATATTTAATATCTCTGAAGACAGTGCTAAAAATCTAAATGAGAAAAATACAAACATTATACATGAATACAGTACGAACAGGTTGGAGAAACATTCATGCCCTTACGAATAAATTAATGCAGATTTCATAATTATGTACTCTCGTTCATATGTACACATCTGGAAAAGTACAGCCAACCTGGGCTATAACGTTCAATAAATTATGAAAGATTACACTTCAAGAAAGAAAATGGACCACTTAAAGTTGAAAAAGAAAGGATTCAACTGCTATGCAGTGAGTTTAGAAATCACATGAATATTTTATAGCAAAATTTAATTTAACAAAAAGGGAACTGGCTTTCAATAATTACAGAGGTCATATGGGACATATATCTCAATGTATTGATTCTAAATTAAAATGTTCCAAAACGAGCAGTACAGTGCCAGTGAAGATCTCGAGCTCTCCATAAATGCAAGAAAAAAATATTTTGAAAAAAATATTTGCACTGCAGCTGCAAATGGGGAAAAAAAGTGCAAAAAGAAAGAAAAATATAAAAAATTACGAGCTATAATAAAATGAAGAAATAAATCAATACCATACATAAAAATAAAAAAAAAACATTTAAAAGTGACGTTTCTTCAAATGCTTGTTTTTGTAATACTGTAAACAGATTCGAGGCAGTTTACAGAAAAGTAAATTTTTTTTTTTTGCTGTTGGTCATTAAAATGCAGTGCAGGACGTGTGCAATGAAAGCCATCAAATTAAATTAGCTGCTAAAATATGCAGAACAAATCTGCCTTGCATCTTTCTGTGCACCTTTGCTGTGAACTCGATCGCCATATTTACATTCCTAAAGTTTGGAAGTCAATCATTTTGCTTCTAAAAAACAAACAAAAAAGGATAGCGTTACGGTAACGTGCTGGGAGCGTAAATTTTTTTTTTTTGCTGTTGGTCATTAAAATGCAGTGCAGGACGTGTGCAATGAAAGCCATCAAATTAAATTAGCTGCTAAAATATGCAGAACAAATCTGCCTTGCATCTTTCTGTGCACCTTTGCTGTGAACTCGATCGCCATATTTACATTCATAAAAGTAATCCTAAAGTTTGGAAGTCAATCATTTTGCTTCTAAAAAACAAACAAAAAAGGATAGCGTTACACTAACGTGCTGGGAGCATTATGCTGCTCGATTTCATTTCAGCAAATCCAAAAAAAGGGATGTAAATAAAGTATTAAAATAGCTGGACTTCAAGGTAATGTGCAAAACCACAAATAAAACATGAAATGCATACAGATGCATTCACTTACAGTACTGTTAAAAAAGGAAAAGAAGTATAGGAAGTGAGGAGAAACTGCCTTCATCTGACATCCGGTAACATGCTGAAGTGACTGAAGCGTCCTCCACCCATCAGCAAGCCCAGGTCACGCAGACCATCGTGTTCTGCACGGGACGAGCTCAAGCGGCCGTCAGGCTGCACTGTATCGCACTCACGTGAGAGGAGTGAACACTAGAGGTGCTGCTCTGGGTCTGGACTCACTTATGCAGCTTCCAGTTCCACAGCAGCGGGAGGGTCCAGGGGGACGGGGCAGGGGCCCGATCGCTCTGAGAACCCAAGCGTCCCTCGACCATCCAGGCCTTCAGCCCCATCGACAGAGACCCTGAGAAGAGACACACCATGGGAACACTCACAACGAGCCTGAATTTGATTTCTGACGCAGAGTGAATGTGTTTGGAGGCGTTTCATTACTGTTGAATCTTAATTTTAAAAAGTCGTCAATATTTTTATGACATGGTAACGAGGTTGGTGAGATTTTTTTATGTTTTTTAAACAAGTCTCTTACGCTCAGCAAGGCCGCATTTATTTGATCAAAAATACGGTGACATTGTGAAATATTATTACAATTTAAAATAAGTGTTTTCTGTTTGAATATATTTCAAAATGTAATTAATGATGCAAAGCTGAATTTTCAGCATCATTCCTCCAGGCTTCAGTGTCAGTTGACATGAATCAAAGTGAGGCTGTGAGGAACAGACATGCAGTATTTTCAGATGTTGTACTTAAGCTCCTAAGGTTGTGTCTAATTTTCATAAGCTGCAAGTTTAACAGGCTTATATTCATTTGCAGCAAATTGTATACGGTGTCGACCCTGATTGAGGTCTATTAAATATTACATGCCATTAATCATTTTTTCACTGATAGTAAAGACATGGTGCACTCTTAATTAATAACATTAGTTAATGACAGATAAAGAACAGCAAACATCAACAAGCAGTCACCTCAGCATCTGGGATACCATACAAAATCTAACCTTGACTAAATCATACATAGGAACAGTTCACCCAAAAATGAAAATTTCAATGTTTCTTCATGGGAACAGGTTTAGAATATAGAATTAAATATAGAATATAGAAAAAATTGAATTCCATCACTCACTCACCAATGGATGCTCTGCAGTGAATGGGTGCCGTCAGAATGAGAGTCTAAACAGCTGATAAAAACATCACAATAATCCACAAGTAACCCACACCACTCCAGTCCATCAGTGAACATCCTGTGAAGCCAAAAGCTGCATGTTTGTAAGAAACAAATCCTTCATTGCTTTAACTTTAAACTGGCCAAAATACAAGTCCATAATGTCCAGTGAAAATGTTCATCCCCTTACATCAAGATCCAGCAACATATTTTAGAAATGTTTCGGACTGTTTGGGCTTTTCTTACTGATGAATTTGTTTCTTACAAACACACAGATTTCTCTTTACAACGTGTTAATTGATGGACTGGAGTGGTGTGGGTTATTGTGGATTATTGTGATGTTTTTATCAGCTGTTTGGACTCTCATTCTGACGGCACCCATTCACTGCAGAGGATCCATTAGTGAGCAAGTGATGCAATGCTACATTCACAAAATCAATTGCATAGATTAATACATTTTCATCAAATTTTCATTTTTGGACACCAGTTGAATGTGTCCAAGTAAGCAATCTGTTAGATTTCAGACTGACTATGTAATATGTTGTGTGTTAGTGTCTAGTACCTCGTGAGAGCTCCATGCACTGCACACACACACACTGCAGAGCGCTCCTTCACTCCGAGGCCTCTGGCAGAGGCACCATGCTGGGACATGCAGCCTTCTCTTCCTTACTGTGTGTCGACTCGTGAGCCGCTGAACCGTTCGTGTTCACAGTCAAGCTCCGACTCCGTCCCGTCAGCTTCCGTAACTCACTGGCAAAAGACACGCCCTTACGCTTGTCCTCACGAGCGATCTGAGAGACAGAAAAAATGCTATTAATATAATGAAATCAATCATTAGTTATTACAGTGTGTATATATAAAAATTTACTTCAAATAAAAAAAAAAACGTTGTGACTTTTCCAGGCCTTATAAAAACCATGTCTATAGGAAACATTCTTTTTTATATATTATATTTTTTATCCTAAAATATCCTAAAATCTAAAATCATTTATAATTAAAAAATTTATCAAATTTTATTTTATAAAGATGTATAAATGTCTCTTTTTGAGTGCAATCTACACAAAAAAAAATGCCCTTTATCAACAATAATCTACAATGACAGGAAATTTGATGGAAATTAACGAAAGAAAAAAACCCAGTAAACTACGATTCGAAAATGGGGAGTCAATGTCAATGTTTTAGACAAAAATAAAAATAAATAAGGATGCAATAAATTGATCATAAATACATTTGTTACAAAAAATGTACATTTAAAATAAATGTTGTCCCTATTCATTCAAAAAAATCATGTCTTGCGGCTAAAAAGAAATTCCACAAAAATATTTATCAGCACAACTGTTTTCAACTTTGCTAATAATCAGAAATGTTTCTTGAGCAGCAAATCAGTATATTAGAATGATTTCTGAAGATCATGTGACACTGAAGACTGGAGGAATGATGCTGAAAATTCAGCTTTGATCACAGGAATAAATTACATTGTACATTTTTTTCACATAGAAAACAGTTCTTTTAAGTTGTAGTAATATTTCACTATTACTATTAATATTTCAATATTACTGTGTTCACTGTATATTCGATCAAATAAATGCAGCCTTGGCAGATTTTGGAAAAAAAAAAAAAAAGTTTCAATGATAGTGTTACTTCAGTTTGGGGATAAATATGCATAAGTAATGTATTCTTTTCAGATCTCACATGAATAAGTGTTTACCTGCTCCTTGAGTTTGAGGATGAACTTCCCAGCTCCCTTCCAGCGGCTCTGAGCCTGGAACACACACTCGTGGTCCTGCAGCACACGCTGGCACGGTTTAGCCGAGGAGGATTTCTTTCCAGCCGCGTCTTTAGTGACCTCCTCCATCAGGACGTAGTCACATGGGTTAGGGTTGCTCAGGATGCTCAGAGAGTACTTGGCTTTGCTCAGAGTCTACAACAGACCACAGCGGCTTAGATTTTCTGATATTACCATGACAGGGATGAGATCTGTGAGTGAAGCTGCGGTGATCTTCTGACCTGCTGGATGATGTCCTGGGCGGTGCTGTAACGCGGGGCTTTGATGACCGTGTGAGGCTGCTCAGGAGAAACATCATGAACCTGCACGAGGAACATGTCGTCCTCTCCGCTGCTCACCTCCTCCACCCCCTCCATCACTGTGTTCTTCTCACTGATGTTCTGCTATCAGCCAGCAGGGGGAGCAACAGATCAAGAATTAGATGGTGGATGAATAAACAAAAGTAATGGGTGTGGATCTTTTATGAAGCCTGTATGAGTCACTGTTATTATGTTGTCCAAAGATATTGGAAATCATTCTGGGTTATTTTGGGGTCCGTTTTAATCCGTTTGTGTCAAGTCGCTGGGTGCTTCTGATATAAAACTTGGAATATCTCATCATAAACTGACAGATTCTTCACATTTTCAACAACAAAACATTTTTTTTTCTTGGGAACACTTTTAATTGGTAACCAGTTAACAGTTTTTAGTTTACTTTCCATCTTGTCAGCCTTTATATCCTATTAACAATCAAGTCGTTTACGCAAAAACTGTTTTCGACATAAAATAATAAATGTGTCGTGAGCAGCAAATCTGCATATTAGAATGATTTCTGAAGGATCATGTGACACTGAAGACTGGAGTAATGATGCATTGCATCACAGGAATAAATTACATTTTAAAATATATTAAATAGTTCATTTAAATAGTAAAAAGAATTCACAAAATGACTGTTTTTACTGCATTTCTATTATCAAATAAATGCAGCCTTGGTGAGCATAAGAGGCTTCTGCGATCTTACCAACCCAAAACTTTTCAGTGGTTCTTTATTCCTCTTTCAAAAGTTATAAAATCGAAAAGGTACTGCATAACAGGACTGACCCTTAGAAATGGAATGAAATTAAAGCAAGCACAAACCTCTTCCTTGGTTTTCAGGTATATTCTGCCCACATATCCTTCCTCCGGCTGCCAGCTGTGAGTAACTCTCAGGAGCCGCTCGTCATTCGCTAGGGGGCGCTGCTGAGGCGCTTTCTTCGACTCGCTCTTCTCCTTGCACAGAGGCATTTTCTCCTCCATCAGGAAGTAGTTGAAGGAGGTAGTCGGAAACAACTGGCAAGAAAGAGACGCGTGTTTATGTGCTGAGGAATGAAGAAAATGTGAAGCACTGCTTGTTCCTAACGAGAGAACGGATGACAATCATTCTCCACGAGGAGGACTTCCAGGGTTAATCCGAAACATCATTTCAGAACTCATAAAAACAACTTCTCAAGAATTCCAAGAGAACTCCGAACACACAGAGTGCTTCCACTGCTTCATCTACAGTAGTTGCACCCTGTGCTTTGGTTCATTGCACTTGACAGTGTTCTGGTCTAAACTGGCTCGGTTCTGTTGCGTTGACACTTACAGAGTCCAGGAGCTGCTTGGCCGTGGTGTATTCATTAACGCAGATTACGGTGAAGGGTTCGGGGCCTGGAACTCCATGCACTGTCACTTTGTGCTGCTGGGCGGCGCGTCTTTCCTCCGTGCTGAACAGCTGAGAGAACAACAAAACGACAACAGAGTTCACTTTTTTTCTGTGAATAAACAAAAGAGCAGGTTATTAATAATGTTTCAGAGCTATTAAACAACTCTGAACTAAATAAAATGATTCAATCAAACTGTTTACAGTCAGGAGTGTCATGCACCTATTGTATTTTTGCAACAACACCAGCAAGAGAAGAAACACTTTACACAAGTATAACAGAGTTAAACTACAACTGCCACAGTAATTTAGACAAAAACGCTGTTGTTTTTAATAATCTTTAACATGCAAATACACTGAAAAATTATATACTGGAGTACATTTTACAAGAAAATACTATTTCAGTCTTTATACTTCAAAACACGTTTAATTGTTACTTGCTGTTTCTTTTGAATTATTTGTGACATTTACCAGCAATTTCTGAAAGAAAATAGTCTCAAAGCCATTTTTCCAGTGTACAGATGGATCCAAACATTAATTTTCCCCTGGAACTGTTTTCACTCAGTATTTTTCCAGTTTGAATGGGCATGGCACTTCTGTATACAGTAGCCGTCTATGCCTTTATGATTTCCTGTTTTTAATGAAACTACGCTGCACTGGGACGACAGGGACCGAGGGACAGGAATGCAGCACATTCCAGAGTTTTAAAAACATCAGAAATATTCGCACAATGTTTTCTCAAACATGCTGGCCACTCCCCTGTGTGACTGTAAGGCACATACAGAGGAATCATGAATGTAAACACTTTGATTTCTGCTGTCTAGTTCCACTAGTACTACATGTAACACAAATATCTGCCTAAGATCCAGACAGCTGTGTGGTTTATGAATGCGGTCTCACCACAGACGCAGGCACTGGTCCTCCGGTGGGGCTCTCCTCTGTCATATTAGAATGATTTCTGAAGGATCATGTGACACTGAAGACTGGAGTAATGATGCATTGCATCACAGGAATAAATTACATTTTAAAATATATTAAATAGTTCATTTAAATAGTAAAAAGAATTCACAAAATGACTGTTTTTACTGCATTTCTATTATCAAATAAATGCAGCCTTGGTGAGCATAAGAGGCTTCTGCGATCTTACCAACCCAAAACTTTTCAGTGGTTCTTTATTCCTCTTTCAAAAGTTATAAAATCGAAAAGGTACTGCATAACAGGACTGACCCTTAGAAATGGAATGAAATTAAAGCAAGCACAAACCTCTTCCTTGGTTTTCAGGTATATTCTGCCCACATATCCTTCCTCCGGCTGCCAGCTGTGAGTAACTCTCAGGAGCCGCTCGTCATTCGCTAGGGGGCGCTGCTGAGGCGCTTTCTTCGACTCGCTCTTCTCCTTGCACAGAGGCATTTTCTCCTCCATCAGGAAGTAGTTGAAGGAGGTAGTCGGAAACAACTGGCAAGAAAGAGACGCGTGTTTATGTGCTGAGGAATGAAGAAAATGTGAAGCACTGCTTGTTCCTAACGAGAGAACGGATGACAATCATTCTCCACGAGGAGGACTTCCAGGGTTAATCCGAAACATCATTTCAGAACTCATAAAAACAACTTCTCAAGAATTCCAAGAGAACTCCGAACACACAGAGTGCTTCCACTGCTTCATCTACAGTAGTTGCACCCTGTGCTTTGGTTCATTGCACTTGACAGTGTTCTGGTCTAAACTGGCTCGGTTCTGTTGCGTTGACACTTACAGAGTCCAGGAGCTGCTTGGCCGTGGTGTATTCATTAACGCAGATTACGGTGAAGGGTTCGGGGCCTGGAACTCCATGCACTGTCACTTTGTGCTGCTGGGCGGCGCGTCTTTCCTCCGTGCTGAACAGCTGAGAGAACAACAAAACGACAACAGAGTTCACTTTTTTTCTGTGAATAAACAAAAGAGCAGGTTATTAATAATGTTTCAGAGCTATTAAACAACTCTGAACTAAATAAAATGATTCAATCAAACTGTTTACAGTCAGGAGTGTCATGCACCTATTGTATTTTTGCAACAACACCAGCAAGAGAAGAAACACTTTACACAAGTATAACCTACAACTGCTACAACTGCCACAGTAATTTAGACAAAAACGCTGTTGTTTTTAATAATCTTTAACATGCAAAAAATTATAAAAATTATATACTGGAGTACATTTTACAAGAAAATACTATTTCAGTCTTTATACTTCAAAACACGTTTAATTGTTACTTGCTGTTTCTTTTGAATTATTTGTGACATTTACCAGCAATTTCTGAAAGAAAATAGTCTCAAAGCCATTTTTCCAGTGTACAGATGGATCCAAACATTAATTTTCCCCTGGAACTGTTTTCACTCAGTATTTTTCCAGTTTGAATGGGCATGGCACTTCTGTATACAGTAGCCGTCTATGCCTTTATGATTTCCTGTTTTTAATGAAACTACGCTGCACTGGGACGACAGGGACCGAGGGACAGGAATGCAGCACATTCCAGAGTTTTAAAAACATCAGAAATATTCGCACAATGTTTTCTCAAACATGCTGGCCACTCCCCTGTGTGACTGTAAGGCACATACAGAGGAATCATGAATGTAAACACTTTGATTTCTGCTGTCTAGTTCCACTAGTACTACATGTAACACAAATATCTGCCTGAGATCCAGACAGCTGTGTGGTTTATGAATGCGGTCTCACCACAGACGCAGGCACTGGTCCTCCGGTGGGGCTCTCTTCTGTCCTGCGGCTGAAGATGAACAGACTAGAGATCTCCAGAGACTCGTTGTGCAGGTTCCTCAGCTGCAGGTGTCTGTAGCCTGGAATAATTCACAGAAACCAAACAAAATATCAGACAATGTTTTACTCATCAATTAAATTAAGAAACAGGGGGGGAAAAAATTAAATACAGTAAATGATCAAGTGGAGTAATCTGAAGGCACAAATGATCATCCAACAATTGTTGACAGACAACAGACAGTAAAAAAATGAACAAAAAATTTAAATATTTTATAATATGTGACCCTGGACCACAAAACCAGTGATAAGGGTCAATGTTTTGAAATCAAGATTTATACATCATCTTAAGCTTTCCATTGATGTATGGTTTGTTAGGATAGGACAATATTTGGCCGAGATATAACTATTTGAAAATCTGGAATCTGAGGGTGCAAAAAAAATCTAAATATTGAGAAAATCACCTTTAAAGTTGTCCAAATTAAGTTCTTAGCAATGCATATTACAAATCAAAAATTACGTTTTGATAGATTTACGGTAAGAAATTTACAAAATATCTTCATGTGACATGATCTTTACTTTATTATCCTAATGATTTTTGGCATAAAAAAAATTATAATAATTTTGACCCATACAATGTTTTTTTTGGCTATTGCTACAAATATACCCCAGCGACTTAAGACTGCTTTTGTGCTCCAGGGTCACATATAATGTATATATACACTTAAGTCTCTTATGCTCACCAATACAGTAAAAACGCTAATACAGTGAAATAGTATTACAGCATAAAACAACTGTTTTTACAGTATAAAATTACTATTGTAATATATTTTAAAGTTTAATTTCTTCCTGTGATGTAAAGCTGAATTTTCAGCATCATTACTCCAGTCTTCAGTGTCACATGATCCTTCAGAAACCACAATCTGCTGATTTGCTGCTCAAGAAACATTTCTGATTATTATCAACGCTGAAAACAGTTGTGCTACTTAATATTTAAGCAGAAACATTTAGAAATATATTCAAATAGAAAACATTTCTTTTAAATTATAATATTACAATATTACTGTTTTTATTGCTTCTGATCAAATAAATGCAGCCTTCATGAGCATAAGAGACGTCTTTCAAAAACCGTTTTAAAAAATCTATAGGTGACCTCCAACTTTTGAACGGTAGGCTAGTGTACAGTATGTAAAATGTAGATTCTGAAGATCATCTATAAAGCATGCTGCAGTGATAGATCAATAATCAGTCCAGAAGCAATCACACAATGCTCTTTACCTGGTTTGAGGGTTTTGAGGGGCAGTATCCGCTGAGCGGTGACCTGTGAGCTGTTGTTCTCCACGACAGCGATGCGCAGAAATGCCATATCCTCGAAGTGCACGTGGAACTGGAAGTGCTCGTTCCACATGGGATTGAGTGTGTTGCGGTGAATGGGCTTGGTGCGGAAATGGCAGCTGTCTGCCGGCATGCCCAACACCTCCACTTCCACACAGGGACTGCCGCTTGAGTTCCCCGGACACACATTCTGTCCCGACACAATCTGTGCACACAATAATTAATTCATGTCTGTTAGATTAGCTAAGAGTAGTTATAACGCTAAACAAATGTGGGATACTTACAGTGAGAGTGTAGAGCGTGGGGGTCATGTTCTCTAGGTCTCGATCCAGAGGGTAAAATTGCTGATAGAGAGGGCAGCTTCGTTCCCACAGGACCGGAGGCTTCAGCACATAACCACAGTGACCATTAGCCTCGAACAGAGCTGCGTTCAGCTGCATGGGCAGGTCTAGAGGAGAAAATACCAGCCACATCCAATTAGTTTCTCACAAAATTGACTGAATTCTTGAAATGTGACCCTGGACCACAAAACCAGCCATAAGGGTAAATTTTTTGACATTGAGATTTATAAATCATCTGAAAGCTGAATAAATAAGTTTTCCATTGATGCATGGTTTGTTAGGCATATGACCATATTTGGCCGAGATACAACTATTTGAAAATCTGGACTCTGAGGGTGCAAAAAAAATCTAAATATTGAGAAAATCGCCTTTAGAGTTGTCGGAAAATGAAAAGTTGCGATTTGAGAGTATAGTTCCTAGCCATATCAGCCAAGAAAATTGCAACTTTTCATTTTCCGTCGGTCTTAGTACACGATGTAACTACAGAAGAGTCTAGTTTTAAATAGGAAAAATATAGAAACTCTTTGGTCATTTTTGAGCGAGATGCTAACGGTCTAATCAGATTCAATGATCTATGCTAAGCTACAGCTAAAAGTGCTACCGCCAGACCCGGAGATCGGCTGAATGGATTTGAAAACGGTAAAACTCAACTGTTTAACTCTAGGGGAGTTGGAAAATGAGCCTATTTTCAAAAATAGCGGAGTGTTCCTTTAACGACGACAGCGAACAAGAGGCAGAATGTGAGCACTGTGTGTTCAGGCGCTGCCGTTTTCAGCGCCGTCAAAATAAAAGTCCCGCCACGAACGCATCGGCCTAACAGA